CACACCAGTAGCATGTGAGTTTTCAAAGCAGAGTGTTTCAGAGTCAAAAAACTCGAGTTGAGTGAAGTTGAGTGGAACAAGGCAAGGGCGCCCGGACCCGCCCCATCCTGTGGTCAACGAGGGCGATTCATCACTGGGTGACACTGACCCCATCAATGGATCCAAACAGTTTCCGAACGCGCTGCGGGTGACTGGCTTGCTTCACATCAGTGACAACTGCCTAGGCAATATTTTGTCCCAGTGCGCTTGCTGGCCAACTTTGCTCCAAAGTCTTCGGACAGTAGAAACCCTGTTGGGAAGTCCGCTTTATCGTGAACGACTTTCATGGTCCTGCATCAGATCAGAGGACCAGCACAGGCTCAAGGCATGGAATGCAAGCCTGAAAGGCCTTCGGTGGCAAGCTGTGCTCAATTTTGTGCTGCAGCTCTTGCCTCTCGAAACCATGCTCAGGTAGCTTGGTTTGAGCAGAGCAAGCAACCTATCACAGAAATTGCAAAAGCAAACAAAAATTGAGTCGCTTGAGCTATTGGGGTTGGTCAAATTGAATTACCACTCCGCTGTTGGGTTTTGCATACATTGTTTTGGATGCGTACTTTGTTTGTATGCTTGCAGCGCGTTATACGTTAGATTGTCATTGTCATGGTCCTGCCTCTTCCTGCAACTGAGACATCACAATGCCACAATGCAGCATCCATGTCATTGCGGTTCCGTTATTAGAACTCAGAGATTGCCACTTGATACCGGATAATGTTGTATATTGTTTGGTTCCTTGATGGATTATTTGACTGGGGTGGCTATGGTTGTTGCATGTTGGCCATTATTGGCATCCTTTTCGAAATTCTTTGCCAACTTCAGGCAAAACTGGAACAAAGATGCTTTTATGGACAAGACTGAGAGGCAACCTGGTCAACGGGCCCATGCAAGTGAAACTGGTGACTCGAATTTGTGGAACATGATTTCTAGTTTTGATTTTTGCCATTAGACTTGTAAGTCCCCTCCCTGTCTGGATCTGGGGCAGGATAAACCAATTTTTTTGGTGACGTAGTTGGCACTGCTAGCTTTCTTGTTTGGATCTTCGGCCTTGCTTTCTCAGCACCAGGGAGCCTGATGGGTCAAATAGTGGGAAGTTATGGAACATGCGTTTTTTTTGAGCCATGTTGGGCCTATGTTGGACATACTTTGGGCCAAGTTGGGCCTTTGGTCCATGTTGGGCTCTTGGGGGCCGTGTTGGAGCCATCTTGAGCCTATGTTGTCTTCATGACTATGTCCCTTCTTAAGCGAAACTGAGGTCAAAATTGGGCCCACGTTGGGTCATTTGATGGGCTATGTGGGGTTCCATGGACGTCCTTTTTGGGGGGAAAAAAATCATCAACAGAAAACCCGGGCCGTGTGGGGGCCATGTTGGGGCCATGTTGGGGCTATGAGTGACCGTCGTGACCGTGTGACCCATGTTGGGCTGAAGTTGGTGCATGTTAGGCTCTTGGGACCATGTCGAGGCCATGTTGGGCCTATGATGTTGGGTTTATGTTGTTACGTACCCGTGGGTCTTACCTTCATTTACTATTTGATTTTGTTAACTTGGGCTAAAATGTTCAGGCTGGAATCAGCCGACGCGCTTATGCTCGAAGAGCTCAGATTCTGAAGGTTTTAGATTTTGCGCCCCGGGCCCCGGGTACAAAGTAATAATGACATGAACTAGGCTACTTAGGCTTGGAAAATTCATAACATTAGACTCATTAGACCATCATCAGCTGATCCAGTGGTCTAGCCAGCTGGTCGTTACCTTTACTACTGGGAATTTTCTTGATGTTCCAGGTGTCTTGCACTTATCCGAGGTGAAACAACAAGCATTGAGTCCTTTGGCGTTGTTGTTAACAAACTGGATTCGATTTTGCAAGATCCATCCTTTTGGGGCCAGGCTCACATGATTGGAGACTTGCCTGCGGCAGCATCAATGGCATTTCCCAAATTGGAATTGCAATGGTATTGGACATTGCACTTGGTACCCACTGAGTATCCACCTATGTAAGCCAAACAATCACAATGACACAAGGTTGCCATGACTGCCATGACTGCACTTTGACTTGACATGCGCAATGCTTTGTCTGAGGAGACCTTGCGCAGGAAGCAAATGCTACAGGTGAATTTGCAGAAAGGTGTCCATGCCATTCCAACGACAATGAGGATGACCACGACAGCACAGACAGCGACCAACATTTTCAAAGGGAGATGAGGACACTTTGTCCAGGTCCTGTTCCAATCCCTTCTACATGCCCATATCGTGGGTGCCGGGCTGCAGAATTTGCTTGTGGCAAAGGGCTGGCTTTCCAGAGCCAGGCTCTCATGCAGGATAGGGTTTCTTGATTCCAGCTTCATAAGCTTTGATGGGGGTTGTTTTCCTGCAGCTTCGAACTGTGTAGATTAAGCCAAGTAAGCCCACCACTTACTGACAGTGCTTGTCAAGTCTCAAATCATTTTTTCTTTTGAACAAGAAGGTGATTTTGACAACTGGTTGGACCACCCGGGGCTGGGCGGCTGGGCGTAGCTTAAGGAACGGATTCTGTATCATTGCAGTGGCATGGTGAATGAAGAGAGAGCTGCAATTCTTCAAGATTGGTTGGCAGCGCGAACACGTTTGTGGAGAAACTTGCATGCAAACACTTCATGCAGCATAACTCTGCATGTAATTCTAAATTCAGAGTTGTTGGCAGCTGGAGGTTGGAGGCTGTTGTGAAGTTGGAATTCATATTGTAATCAGTCAACCTTTCATTCTGAGGCGAGATTTTCAGCAAACTGAACTTCTGGCAACACCTTCCATGGCTTCTGTGCCCCTCAGCTGTCAGAGACTTGATGTCGACTGTCAAATTGACTTGCATCTGTAGGGGAGTGGTAAAGCCATACCATGCGGGTTTTTCTTTAAACATCTTAAACTTTTGGCTCTTCCCACTTCCCCCCTTATGCTTCTTGTTCAGGTGGATTGGCTTCCGAAAGCCCAGCCGATGTCCGGGATGTTGCTGCAAAAGCCTTGGCAGAGTATGATGCAATGCTGCATGTAGATGAGCCACCTCTCGCTCTTCAGCACCCAGTCACGAAAAGGTTTTGTGATCCTCAGTGGCGTGGTTTGGACGACGACGAAGTTCCCCTACGTCCTTATTTGGAGCGACTTGCTCAAGGTTTGGTGGAAGGGTCGGAGGGGGCCGGGACTGGGTGAGGTGATCAGGTGATGAATGTCGTGCCGTGCCAGTCAGTGGCTCACTGGCTTGTTTGATTTGCTCATAACATGCCATGCAATGTCGAAGTGTATGTATCGGTATCCACCTGCAGCCTGCAGGCGAACAGTTCGACACCTTCACAAGCGATGAGCTAACTTGCATTGGACGTTGGATCTGTCGATTTAGACATGTTCCTTGGCCATAGTAGTGCAAGGAGATCAGAAGCCTTTTGCGTTCAAACCCAACATCCAGTCATTTGAGAACAGTTTTGCGTCTCTTGTGTCAGTAACGTCAATGCCTGAGCATTGTCTTTCAACTCTTCAAGGCTGCTGCATGGCTGCTATAGTACACCATCATCTTAGGTTCGATGTGTTGAGCGGAGCACAGAGGGTCTACACAGCTTGGTAAAGCGAACACTTGGCAGAGCACCAAGAGCGTCAATGTCTTATCTTTTGCTGGAGTTGCGCTTCAGCCACCTGATGCATTGTGCCATCACAAGCCCGATCCTTTTCAAAGAATGCGAATCAAAACACAACGCCCTGCAGACCCTCTCTGGATTCCGGACGTCTGTGTGCCATTTGCTGGGCATTCCGGAGCGCCAGGCGCTGCTGCCCTTGAAAGACAGGCAACTCGCAGATCTCCTGTATCGTGATAATTTGATCCTTAAGCATTCAGCTTCCAACCATATCAAGAAGGCATTGTCTGACCAGCTCAACACCAAGCAGACAGCGACCGCACGTGACAAAGAAGATGCTCATGCCATCACCGTAGCTATCATCGACTTTCTGGTTGAGGCCAGTTGAGGCTGATAAGCTTGGACACATGAATGAATCTCTTGTTTTGTTTGATGTGGGCTCAACTCCCGACTTGAAAAAGGAATTTGTATGTGTGAAATTGTGAATTTACATGTCTCTGTTAGTATTGATGTTCAGCTATGTTTACCATAAGTCGGGAGTCGGGTAGTCTTTTTTGGTGGGATGGTGCAAAATATGTATGTATGCATTGGCAGTCAGTGGCCAGTGGCCAAAAGAACTTCAACACGACTAACACGACTATGTCAATGCACATGCCTGCTGGCTGGCTGACATTACAATCTTCATGGCCTTCTGATGGGATTCCTGTTCTTTACCGAAGCGAGATAAGTTCCAACTTTATTTTCGGCAAATTATTGCATACAATTGTCAACTGTTTCGGTTTCCGACTTCACTTCCAATACAATCCAAAGTTTATCCCAGCTTCTTTTTCATGACTTTGATCTTTGAAGCCACCGGCCACCGCCCGCCGCCCGCCACCTCTTTATTTTGAAGTCACCGTCACCGTTCCACAGGTGTGTGACAGAGACAAACGCACATTGGTGTCCTTTCCCGCGAGACTTCATCGAAGACCGCCTCCTGTCCTTGGAAGCAATATTTTCTGGCGAGGCCGAGGCACATCCCAATAGTCGGAGTCCAGAACGAGATATGGAGATGGTCGATGACAACTGCTTGTTCCCGACTCTTGCTGCTGCAGCTCCAGGACTCGGACCAGGGTCTTTTCATGTGAGCCAGCAGCAATTGGAGATGAATCTTCAGAATCGTTTTCAGACATATATATTCTATCGACCATACAGAAAACATAGCAAAGATGATATTGCATAGCAAAACTGTTGCACAGCCAAGATGTTGCATTGTGACATGATCATGGTGATGGGCTACTTCTACTTTGCTACGTTTCTGTGTTGTGGATCAGCGCTCCTTGACTTGGATTGCTTCAGGGCAGCAGGGGAACAAACAGTCGGCCGTACCTTGCATGGCAGCTGTCGCAACGCTTGATTCACAAAGCAGTATGTTCAGGATTGGGCGAAACATTTTTACCCACATGACCTTGGAACAGAGACCTGAAAGTTTTGAGGTCTTGGTACAGAGATACCAGGGAACGGGCCAACGCCAAGATGGCAAACAGGAGGTTGTGGCATCGGGAGACACCTTCGGTTGCAAACTTCGTGATGCAACTCCGGTCGATTTGGTGGCAAACATATCTCTGTGCAGCCTGGAAAACGTTGATATTCAATCAAAGGAGGATTGCAATTCCGATGCAAACTTGCTTTTGTTGCAGATGGTTGATAGCAAGGCATGGAGCTCTTGGGTCACACGAGTGCGCTCTTCAGGGCAACACAAATTTTGGATTCCTGATTCAGGGTCAGATCCTGCTTGCGTGCAACTTCGCAATGAAGGTTTGATCATTCCATCGGGGCCTGAGCCAGATCATTTTGTAATTTCAACCAAAGGCGCGAAAGCTTTGGAGGTGAAACTGCAGGTAGGTTCTACGATGTCATTGGAAGATTACCACAAGCAGTCTGGCTGCATTTGGGTCCTTTTGGTTTCATGAATATCCAGCGCATTTTTCATTTGGGTCCTTTTGGTTTTCTTTTCGCACTTTTTGATTCAAGAGGAAAGACAAGTGACTCAGTATTGCCTTTAGAGTCAGAACTGGTTGTAAGTTTTGCTAGCATGTGCTGCCACAGCCCAGGCAAACATCCTCGCAGTTGCCAGTGGCGAAGCAATCTGGTTTTGAATTGTTTATGATGATGCTCCATTGTGGATGGAATGTGGCACATCTTGGACGGAATGACTACTATGCCTTGGACAAAGACAAAGAGTTTTGCATTGGAAACGCTGGCAGGGGTTTCCATCGAACATATTTGCTGGCCCTGCTTCAAGCTCAAGCACTTTTCCCTGCCGGGGTCAAAGCTATTTTCCATGGGCAGAGCAAAACATACTATGATACCATGCTTACCCTGGCTGAACGTGGAGAAAGTGCGCGGGAAGCGCTTGTGAATTTTGGGCCAAACAAATCAGCAGTTGAGTACAAAAATTTGTTGAGAACATTTGATAAAAAGCAACGAAAAAACGTTTTGGAAAAGGAGCAGCTGGATTCTCAGGGATTGGAGGACGCTGAAGATGAAGAGAGCATCATGAAAATTCTGCAGACAGATTTTTCGAAAGCTTCTGCCCAAAAAAAAGTGAGATCTGCAAGTCGCAAAGTTCAATTTCCAGAGCTGAGACCACAAGGTGTCTTGAGCATTGACTCTTCTTCCGAAGATGATGCGGGTGGTGACGGTGTGAAGGATACTTCTGGACTAGCCCGAGCCCGAGCCCCACCTGGTGCTCGGGGTCATGGCAGTCGATTGGCTGAGGCTGTAGCTACCATCCAAGAATATCATCAACAAGCAGCAGAGCAAAAGCAGGTCAAAAGAGCTGAGAAAAATTCACGCACGGTCACTAACCAATCTGCCGAAGCTGAAAATTTGGACATGGATTTGGACAGTGCCGGGGCCGGCGCCAAGCGAAGGCGCATGTTTCTCCACACAACGAGTGGCGCGGCTGAGATCAAACGGACTCCTGAGCAAGACAGTCAGCCTGCAGATGATCAGGAACCAAATGTGAAAGACAAATCTGCCACTGCCGATTTGAATGCACCAGCTGAGCCAGCTGGCCCTTCTGAACCAGCTCGGCATTTGGCGCCTGATCCTGATCCATCTTCGTCGAGTCGCCCAGCACCTGCGGAATCAGCTAACTCTTCCATGTCGAGTCACCCAGCACCTGCAGAATCAGCTCAGTCTTCCAGTGATCGTCCAGATCGACCAAGTTCAGTTGCTTCAGCTCCGCCTCCACCTGCTGTGCGTGCTCGGGACAGAGAAATACCATCTTCGTCGTCTTCAATGTTTAACTTGAGCACTGTGTGGCTGGGAGATATTCCATTGATCAAACGTCATGACAAGGACATAGAATCTTGAACATGCTTGGAAACTTTTGAATGGAGCAGACTAGAGACTCCAGTTCAGACATGTTTGTCACTTTGGCAGTGATTAGTCCATTGAGTCCATTGTCTCATTGCTTACCAGAGAAACACACTTCACACTTCACACGCACACGGTGGTGTGTCCCATGATGTCCCGAGTCCCAAGACATTGGTCAGTCATGCATCATGAGGTGACAGTGGCATCAGACATCAATGATCAATCATCAATCCAGAATCCAGATTCCAGATCCACGTTATTACGAAAGCCAGCTAGCTGGCTAGTTGCTGTTTGCGAACCAGAGGAAATGTGCAAAAACGATCGGAAACTGAAGGAGACGAGTAAAACTCTTGGAAAAATATATTGAAAATGCATGAAATGCAGGAAACGAGAGGAAATGGTACAAAAAGCCATAGAGGAAAACGGTGAAAATGGTAGGAAGCATGATGCATGTAATAAAAAAAACTTGACAAAACACAGTGACAGTGAAAACCTACAAAAGAGAAGAAAGTAACCACAGGAAACGGTAGAACAAACAGTGGAAACTGGAAGAAAAGTTGTGACAATATTAGGAAAACGGTGTACAAGCTAGGAAATGCCTGTAATAACTAGAGGAAACGATGTAGAAAACAGTACAACATGGAGGACACGCGTGAACATGCTAGGAGGCATGTAACATGTTAGGAAAATACAGTGTTATAACTAAAAATGCTTTAAAAATATAATGAAAACAAAGACAATGTCAACGAGCGGAAACGATGGAAAGACCAGTGGTGCGCAGGAAAATCTGCGAAAACGACGTTAAAACAGAGGAAAAGTGTTGAAAATTGGTGGACAAAAATATAGCAATTTACACAAGTCAAAAAGCAAGAGCTGGCTTTCGTTCCACCCCTTCTCAGGTAGGTGATGGCCGATGAACAAAGCAATATGGAATCTGGAACTAGAGCACTTTCGAATATTCTAGACAATTGGTAAGTATTCAAGATTATGATGGGCAAAGTATAGGTCAAAGCAGTTCTGATGACTGGTCTTCAATTTTTGATTGCGTTCTTGCAACCATGGTCATCCCTTGATGTTCCCACAGCCACAGCTGAGGATGCATACTATGTCACATGCCCACTCCATCGGAGCACACTCGAAAATGGCAACTGAACTTTGCTTATGCCTCCTCTCCTCTCATGAAGTTTTTATAGATGCAATGAATGCAATGCTGTCTACCGGTTTCATCAATGTTTTGCAAAGCTGGGGACAAGTTTGCCCTTTTCATACCAGCACACTTTGGCCAATCTGAGGCAAAGAGCGTAAATGTAAAAAGGAGATGTCGGTAGGGAGGCATCCTGAAGAAGTGGTCATCAGGATGATGGCATGGTGGGTGGCACAGGGTTTCTTGGAGCAGCGTTGAGTTTTTGTTGTCACTTGTGTTCCGATCACCAGATCGAGCCAACAGTGTTGATGTAGACATTACACGTTAACACGTTGGATTTGGATCAGAGCGGAAACGTTTGTGGATGTAGTAGTAAGGTATTCACCCACATGATCACATGGCCCAAATGTATGCCACAGCGATAGCATGTGACTCGACTCAGCAAAGGATACAAGCTTGTCCGCAGACCTAACGAGACCGATGAGGAATTTCGCCGACGCCACGTATTGATGGTACCTTGCCCAGCACCATGATCAAAGTATTCCTTGAAAACTGAAGATGCATTTTTTATCCGATGCGCAATTTGTACCAGTAGCAGTGCTATGTGTGCTAGCCATTGAATGTGGAACACAACCTGTGAGCCCTTGAACCTTTTTTTGGCAGGCACCGCCGAAGTCTGTGGATGAGCTGCCATCGCTGGATGAGTTGAAGGATGAGATCCAGCACTATAGCGCTTTGGGGGGAGGCATTTTGGCTGGCAGTTGAACTACACTGGTTACATTTAACTTTGATGTTGGATCTCAACTGATTCCAGATTGTTGTGATTCCACGTTGCCACTTGCAATGTTGTGCATGAACTGTTCTAGCAGATCTTGTGCGAAGCTAATTATGTTTTAGTCAGTTGTCTAGTTTTTCTTTTTTTCCTTGTTTTGTGAACAAAAGTATCAAACTTTATTTGTTTTGAAAAAAAAATGAAAATGCTGCCAAAAAAAACATCCAAAAAAATAAATTTCTGAAAAAAAAAATAAATTCCTGAAAAAAAAATAAATTCCTGAAAAAAATTTAAATTCCTAAAAAAAAATTAAGTTCCGAAAAAAAGAACTTAATTTTTTAAATTCTTTTTTCAAAAAGTTCTACGCTTGAAAAGTAGTAAAAAAATAGCATTTTGCATGGTTTTTTGCTAGTTTTCTAGCGTAGAAAAAGCTGAATTTCATGAACTTCTACGCTAGAAAAGTAGTAAAAAAGTAGCTTTTTGCATGGATTTTTACTACTTTTCAAGCGTAGAACTTTGTGAAAAAAGAATTAAAAAAATTAAGTTCTTTTTTTTCGGAACTTAAATTTTTTTTAGGAATTTATTTTTTTTCAGGAATTTATTTTTTTTTGAGGACTTGTTCTTTTTTTTCAATTGAGATTTATTTTTAAAAAAATATTTTATTTTTTTTCTGATATTTTTTTTTCTGGATGGGTTCTCTGTGTTTTTCAATGGAGATATTCTGTCAACAAAAATAAGTTCATTTTTTTCTGGAAATTAATTCTTTTTTATGAATTTTCATTTTACTCTTGGAAATCTTATTCTCAGAATTGAATGAAAATTATTATCAAAAAATGGCGAGCGCTACCGCGTTGCGGGGGCCGACCCCTAATTGCAAGAGTTGCTCATTTCGTCTTGAAAAATTAAGTTCTTTTTTTTTGGAACTTAATTTTTTTCTGGAGGAATTCCTTTTGTTTTTCAATTGAGATTTTTTTTCAAAAAATTAAGTTCTTTTTTTTTGGAACTTAATTTTTTTCTGGACGATTTCCTTTTGTTTTTCAATTGAGTTTTTTTTCAGAAAATTAAGTTCTTTTTTTTTGGAACTTAATTTTTTTCTGGACGATTTCCTTTTGTTTTTCAATTGAGATTTTCTTTCAAAAATTAAGTTCTTTTTTTTTGGAACTTAATTTTTTTCTGGACGAATGATTGCCAAAAAATTGGCGAGCGCTACCGCGTTGCGGGGGCCGACCCCTAATTGCAAGAGTTGCTCAGTTCGTCTTGAAAAATTAAGTTCTTTTTTTTTGGAACTTAATTTTTTTCTGGAGGATTTCCTTTTGTTTTTCAATTGATTTTTTTTCAAAAAATTAAGTTCTTTTTTTTTGGAACTTAATTTTTTTCTGGACGATTTCCTTTTGTTTTTCAATTGAGTTTTTTTTTCAAAAAATTAAGTTCTTTTTTTTTGGAACTTAATTTTTTTCTGGACGATTTCCTTTTGTTTTTCAATTGAGATTTTCTTTCAAAAAATTAAGTTCCTTTTTTTTGGAACTTAATTCTTTTCTGGACGAATGATTGCCAAAAAATTGGCGAGCGCTACCGCGTTGCGGGGGCCGACCCCTAATTGCAAGAGTTGCTCATTTCGTCTTGAAAAATTAAGTTCTTTTTTTTTGGAACTTAATTTTTTCTGGACGATTTCCTTTTGTTTTTCAATTGAGATTTTTTTTCAAAAAATTAAGTTCTTTTTTTTTTGGAACTTAATTTTTTTCTGGACGAATTCCTTTTGTTTTTCAACTGAGTTTTTTTTCAAAAAATTAAGTTCTTTTTTTTGGAACTTAATTTTTTTCTGGACGATTTCCTTTTGTTTTTAAATTAAGATTTTCTTTCAAAAAATTAAGTTCCTTTTTTTTGGAACTTAATTTTTTTCTGGACGAATGATTGCCAAAAAATTGGCGAGCGCTACCGCGTTGTGGGGGCCGACCCCTATTGCGAAAGTGCATTATTTCGGTTTGATTCACTGTGTAGTGGTTTGAAAGCAATTTTTTTCCGCGCCTCCGGCGCAAAACAGTCGTTCAGTTCTTGGTGGAAACACTTAAACTTGCAAGTGATATTACTGAAACAGGCGCAGGAACCTCTACAAAAATTTTCTCCGCGCCTCCGGCGCAATAAGGTCTTTGAGAACTCATAGGATTTCCATGTCCACTTAGGAAAAAAAAAAAATTAATCTCACAGCGCCACAGCGCCAACAAAAAGTGGTAGAGGGAATAAGGCAGGAAGACGTGGAAATCCAAATCTTGGGTTTGGTTGCGCCCTGGTAATTTTGCCATCTAAGAGGGGGGGGGGGCAGGGCGAACCACTTGCAGCGTGCAGTTTTTGAGTGGTTGAAAACACATGATTGACTTGGAATCTTGTAACTCAGGTGACTGATGCAGAGTTTCGACCAGCAGCTGCAGATGCCACATCCTACTTTGTTAATGCGCCATGGATGCTGGGACAGGATTATGAAAATCGATCCAAAGGTATATATGTACAGTGACAATGAAATCATCTGTTTGGACTGGACTTGGACTTGGATTCTGGACCTGGCAATGGCAGTATTTGCAATTAATTTTTGTTTTTTGAGTTGGAACAAAGTACAGCAGCGCATTGTGTCAGGACTGGATGCTTTGCATTGCTTGGCAGCTCGCAATCCGGGTTAAATGACCTGACATAGTCGTGCCGTGTGCAGGGAAAAAAGGATCCAGACCAGCATGCCTTCAGTGAGCAAGCTGATTAACTCTGGAGTAACAGTACCATCCAAGAAACCCATTGCAATCTGCACCAGAGACTCTCACACGCGCATTCACCAGTGCAGTGAAACCAGTGCAGTGAAACCCACATTGACTTGCCATTGGGCAGGCATTTGCATTTGCTTTCCAGTGCTCTTTCAGGCCGCTGGCACCAACATGTGATTTTGTATTTTCTTGGGTTGTGCTTTGCTTGATCTTTCATCTTCCCCTTTAAGTCTATTGATTCATTTTCCAGCTTGGGCTTGAACTACTAGCTGCCCTTCTGACTCCGATTCACGGCCTTGTCACTTGTCTCTCTCAGGATTGGATTGCCCATGAA